AGGGCACCTACAAGAAAACTAGAGAGGGACTTTTTACATGGGCATGCAGTGATAGGACAAGGGGGAATGTCTTCAAACTGGAAGAGGGGAGATTTAGACTAGATATTAGGAAGAAATTTTTCACTCTGAGGGTGGTGAGGCACTGGAACAAATTGCCCAGAGAAGTTGTGGATGCCCCCTCCCTGCAGGGGTTCAAGGCCAGGCTGGATGGGGCTTTGAGCAACCTGGTCTAGTGGGAGGTCTCCCTGCCCAGGGCAGGGGGGTTAGAACTACATGGCCTTTAAGGTCCCTTCCAACCTAAACCATTCTATAATTCTATGATTCTAAATATCCCAGTTTGGGGTCTCAGAAGACTGAGCCCAAGCTGTGGGATAAGGAAGGCTACCTGAGGAGCTACATGTCAACAGAGCTAGACCTGCTCCTCAGGTAGTGGTCAAAGTGGGGTTTGGCACACATCAGCCTCTGAGTGAAATAACTGGCAGAAGGTAGAGATATGCTAGAATATTATTTTAGGTTTGAGGGTGTTTGCATTCAGTCCCATGGCAGGCTTGTTTTGCAAGCTGGAAAAGTGCCCTATGTATTTCTGCAGGGCATTAATTCACACTGCTTCAACTGTCCTGCAGAGATACAAACTCGTGTAAATACCCTTACCCATATTGCAGTTTTCTTCATATTCTGTGTGCATACAGTGCTAAATCCATCAGTCCATCAAGCTCCAGTGCTGTCAAAGGAAAACACAGCATTTCTTTGCCTCATACATGGACAGCAACTTACTTAAAGACTGTAAAATGAGACTCAGATGAAGCATGATGAATTGATGTTTGGAAACCTGACTTCTTTCAAACAAAATGACTTTTTAAAAAAAAGTTGGGGGAAGAGCAAGAATGACGCTATCTTTCACAATAGCTAATTTTGGGATAAAATTTGTGTCAGAATGCCCCCTTTTTAGTGTTGATACTTCATGCTTTTTAGATACAGGAAAAGAAGTTTTGACATAAAAATAACCACTAAACCAAAAAAAAAAAAACTTTTAAAAGTGAAATTTCATGGAAACGCTCAATCACATTAAATCAGCCAGTCATGGTTTAGTGAAAACAATGTTTCTCAAGGGAAACTTCTTTCACCACATTTTTTTTTTTTTTTTTCCTCCTGACTGACTGCTTAGAACAGATCAGATATAGGCATCTACATGGATGTTCTTCGGGTACTGAGTGGGCTTTATAAATCTTGATAAAATTTTATTTGTAGTGTAATAGAAAATTGTATCTTTCCACCTACAATCTCATAGACTGCTAATCTTCTACAAGTTATTTTCTTCATAAAGTACCCATTTAGCCAAGAATGGATTCCGTGCCCATGCAAAGAAGTATTCTGTATTTGATAAGAAGCAAGCAATCCTATGAACTGAATTGATGTCAAGAATAAAGAGAGTCTTTAGGGAAAGGATGCCTCAAATGACTGTATTTTATGGAAAAGACTGTTCACATGCTGTCCTGGTTTGAGGACAGAATGGACTCTCATTTCACTATCTTCCCTTCCAACAGGTTTTGTATTCCAGTGGTGACATTAGTCAGGCGATGAGGTGTATGACAAAATAGGAAAGGTTAAGGTAGGAAAGGCAAAATATTGTATATATTTCTATTGCTAACCTAGATAAAAAACAGACTTCTCACCCTGTCACCCCCCTCATTGGATGTTCTAGAGAAATGTGTTGTTCTGAATGCTTTCCACATGAGCTTTCCTTTAAAGAAAAAAATAAAATGCATTATTTAAGCTTTTTAAACAAAGGGCATATTTTCACTTATAAAACTTGAACTGAAACAATTAAATAGGACAAAGAGTACAGCTTTTATCAGTAATTTACTATAATCATTCTAATGTTTTAGACATCAATAAACTTGGTTACTATTTAATGTCAAAGTAATTACTCCAAAATGACATCAATTTGCCATCCTAAAGAAAAGAAAAGTAATAAACCTTTCACTTTCTGCTTCACACTAGTTTGTATAGCCTAGTTATATAATATGCTGGCACAAATATTTAAGAGAGACAACTGAATTATCTTTGCCAGTGAAGATTTCGTAGCCTCTATTAATCCATCTTTTATTACTACTGCGAAAGGAAAGTATTCATTAAATCTATCAAATCTTGGACACACTTAAATGCCTTTAATCACATAATCTATATTTTTGTTTGTCCTTCAAGGTTTCTAGGAATGCCTGCTTTCTCCATTGGTTTACGAAGCTTATGGAGGGAAAACGAGTGGTCCAAATGAGAAAAGTACAGTTTATTTCTTGGTTTATATGCAGTGACTATTTAGTTTAAGTCTTCCGCCTTATACTCATATGAACTGATGCTTTTTTGCTCTATTATCTGAAATGACATTAGCAAGAAAAAATGTCATTCTGAGCAATCATCTAGGTCCCAGTTCTGCAAAGTGAGTATCTGAAAGCCAGCCATTTTGTTAGACTGGGCAAAGACTGAGAATGAAGTGATTTTGGTAAAACTGGAACTATGAAGTTGGCCTGCTTCTGGGGCCGGTAACAAGATGAGAAAACTATCCAAAGTGTTGACAAAATATGGAACATTTCTCGCTGTGTGGCCTGTTGACCAACGGACATTGCAACAGGCTGGACAAACCATTGAACACATTCATGTTTTTAAAACATAATAGTCTTCTACTTACAACTTTATAAAAGCTCTAAATAAATATGTTCAGCAACAGCTGCAACTAGAAAAAATATTGGTCAATGATAAGCAGAATATAAGTTGTACTTTCAATGAGAACAGAATTAAAATTGAAACTAAATTGTTGCACATGGAATAGGATAAAAACTAGAACTAATTAGTTACTGTGGAATTAAATTAGCACTGGTACTGTAGTGTGAGCCTAAGGGCCTATCCACATGGATTCCTTTTTTGCTATCAAGGACGCCCTGGGTTACAACTAGAAAGGCCAAAATTTATCTAAGTTTAACTATCCTGTGGATATATGGGATATGCCAAGGTGAATTTAGCAGGCTGTCAAGTGTGTGATCAAGGGATCTGGATCTGGACTCCAACTGGAACTTATGAGAACTTGGTACTGCTTATAACCAAGAGGTGTAACGGCTGGAAATTGAAATGAACCATCAATGCAATGACACGGACATAAGTACAAAGATGAAATACCTCATGTTTCAGTCATTGCAGTGTCATTAAGGGACTCTGTTGTAGAAATCTTTGCATACCTAAGAGAATGCCTATAGCATTTATTTGTGTGTTGATAAGTGTTTAAGGCTACTCATTACACGATCGAGTAGCTAGTCCAAATTTGCCTACCTGTACACACATCCAGTTTAAAGGGGCTGCCATTTCAAACCGTAGACATGGCAAAATATTTGATTGCCTATATTTATATTGTCTCTGAAGGTCACTGTGATGGAATTAGATGCTTCTTACAAAATGCTGCTATTAACCATACTGTGCCCGCCTAACCAGGTGCTGAGTATTCTTAGGGTTTGCCTCTCTCTCCTCAGTGCTTCTAGTCAGGTTGAAAGTTGCCCAGCAGATCACACTCACACTGAGGGGAAAAGGTGTGATCTCTATCTATGCCACATTGTGCTTTGCTGAGAAAAGGCAAGACACCAAGCTGAAGCTATACAGAGATAGTAGCAACAAAGGATCTGTCCTCAAAATCACTATTTTGAGAAAGCAATGGTATGAATAAGGCATGAATGATCTTAGGAGAGAATTCAACAAAAAGGGGCAAGGGAAGAAAAGAAGACGGACACAATGTGAGGTCATGAAGTTTCTTGTGAACTCAATGCAGCGCTGAAGTCACCACTGTGTGTAGATGCTTCCAAACATGGCTATATCTGTGTTGCAGAAGAAAAAGCAGCAGCATAGTTTGATAACATACTGATCTTTAATCTATAAAGAAGATTAAATTCAAAGTTTAACAGTATAAAAGAATAACAAATACTTTTTAAAACAAAAACACAAGATAACACACAGTTGCATCTTGGTTCCTCCTGCTGTCCAAGCTTAGAGTACACAATTTCTGGGGTACAATTCCACTGCACACAGTGTTTCCTATCACTTCAGCACATGTTGAAATCGAAATGGAACATTTTTATTTGAAAAAAAGCTTTTCCAGGTACAAGCTCAAGCCAGGGTGCTATTACGATTAGCTATCCACATGTCAGATCCCACACATAATTTAAACAAACCAGAATGAAATCACTGCTTGTTGCAACATTCCTGCCTTTTCATGTCAGCTCCTAGATGCCAGCAGTCCATCTACCACTGCATCGATCAGCCCAGCTGCTTGTAACTCAAAGTTGTTCAAGAGCTGAACCTTTTTTACTTGGGTTCCCTGCTCTAAATTCACATCCGCAAGTTCTTATTCCCCTCAGGCACACATACAAAAAAAAAAAAAAAAGGATTGGGGGAAAAAACGTCAGAAAAGGTATGAAAACTTGTGAGAACTTCTTTCGGACAGCAAGGAAAAAGCCGCAGGCAGGGGCGATGTGAGTAGCCCCTCCTGACGGCAACTGTTCGTAATTTGTTCAGCTTTACCTCTAGTGGACCCCGAGGCAAACCAAAGAGTTGATGGGGGCAGCCAGGTGTAGAGGAAGAAAAGGCTGAACAATCTGTTTAGCCTTTCCTGTCTCTTTATAGTTAGATTTACAATTCTGACCCACGTAAACTCTGCTCCTGCTTGCACTGACCACAGAACCATTCTTTTAAACTCAGGCTGAAGCAAACGGGTGACGTTATAACCCACCTTACTCCTTGTTGGTTTGCTGTATTAATAAGCCAAGTGAAAACAAACAGGGGAAAGAATCCTACCAAAACTTATAATGGAAGGCACCTCAAAAATGGATAAAAGGATACATTTTTCTACAAGTATTCCAACTGTAGAATAACTGTTTTGAATCCATTAGTGGTTGCATTCTCATTGCATGATCTTTGGAAAGCATAATAATAACAATAAAACCAAAATGAAATAAAATATTGCCGCCGATGAAAAACCTGTTCAGTTAAAAACTGCAAAACCAAGTAAACAGCAATTTACACAACTTCCATCAGTCCTGCAAACCTGAAACATCCAACATTGCTTGGACAAAATTGAGAATACAGTAGACTTTTCAGCATAACTCTACTTAAATGACAGTATTGATTAAGAAAAACAAAGCATACTATTGAAACCAAAATACATAGAATCAGGTTTCTATGCTACTGTTTGCCAAAAAGCTATTTTTTAAAAAATGGTTTAAATGCAAACTTTTACATCTCCAACACGTTTTACATATTTCAGACAACAAAAGAATACACATACATTGTATGTGATAATTTTTCAAAACTAGCCATTACATTTTCACAGATTAAAAAAAAAAAAAAGTCTGTTTAAATATTTCATTTCTACAAAGTGAATTTACATTTTTAAGTACAAAGTGCAAATACTACAGTTGTTTTTATTGCCTTTTGGTGAGGAAATCTCCCACATGTCAAAGAGATCTGCCTTGAATCGTAAGCTGTTCACCCTTGCTTCTTAGAAACTTGCTGAAAGAAAGAAAATTGGAAAAATTTGCATTATTAATGATGTTTTCAAGTAATCAAGTATAAACATTTATCTCTATTCTTCAGCAGTGTCCAGATGCCACTATCAGAACAAGAGTTCTGCACAAATATATATGGGAAATCAAAAAATCCCTGCCCTGTAGTCCTTCAGGGCATCTATGAACAAGGGTATGAGCAACATCTTTATGATTTCTTACCTATGGCCTCTTTAAATCTGTACCTGTCAAACACACGGTTTTAGCAACTGCCTGGGCAAGTCCCTGGTGCAATATACCTTTTTATGGCATGTGATGTATAAGGAATGGGCTGCTGGCCAAAGTCTTCTGAAAAATCTATAGTTTCCTTGTAAACTTTTTGCTAGGCTGCAAAAGACCCTCTGGGTCTCATTGACAGCGTGTGTGCGTGGATGTGTATGTTTGTTGGACAGGGTGAAGCTGAGCGAGGGAAATATATCTGGCCACTACCCCAGCTCTGTCAGATCCATCATGTATCTGACCTCTTTTAGAGCAAGAGCTGAGGCTGAGTTAGCGTATTAGTGTATGTATCTATACCTGCTTTCTTTCAGGAAGTTTGTATGTGGGTGTATACATACAGATAAGCACATATGTAAAAAACAAAAAAAACATTCAGGAATACATGCCTAAGCACAAATGCTGAACTGCTGCAATAAACTAATAGAAAACAAGCTCTTGAGTGCCCGGCTCCTGAGTGGTGCAAATCTGATCACTCCTTCTTAGATGGGTGCTTTCCTTTGAGTAGCTCCTACCCAGCCCAGTTGCTTTTCAATAACTTCCTTTCAAGTGAAAACTTTTGTGATGAAAGCCACCTTCTGCATTTGCAGCCTTGTATTGTTTGAGTATGAAACTGCCAACAGATGGTTTGCTGAGCCAGCCTTAATTTAATGCTATCATTTGTCAGCAACAGCTTTTAAAATAATTGGTGCTGAGTCAGGAAAATTATTGGACAAAATTAAAAAACATAGGACACTTTTATTACAGATTCTGCAAGTCAGGATCAGATTACAAGAAAGGGGAGAGGGCTTGTCATGCTTCAAGTGTAATGCACGTGTGCCAGTAATTGCCATTATATAATTAAAATAACCCCTTTGAATGTTTTTTGAGTTCCGACAGGATAATTGTTTTCAGGCTGCCTTGTTTAAAGCGTAAGTGATTTGTGGGGGGAACTTGAAAAGTTGAGACCACAAACATTTGTTTAAACAAACAGAAACTTATCACATCCCTCTAGCTTTGAGAATATTTTATATTCCATCAAAGGTATGTAGGACGTCTCTGGCAGAACCCACAACCAATGTTGAGCTTGCCTTAGGAAGTGTGAACCTAACATCAAACAAATTAGAGATAAAGCAAGTAACAAACTGGCTAGCAGCAATGAGAGGAAGATTTCTCTTGGCTTGTGGGGAGGTTCACCCTGGGTTTAGTTTTTAACAAATTAATACACCTTTCTGATAGATGGGAACATATTAACCACAACAATGGGTTGGGGATATTTTTGGCCAAATTCTTATCTTCCCAGCTGCAGAGTTACCTGAGCTGTTCTTATAATATGTTTCTATGAATATTTTTAAAAGCAATTCATCATTTACTGATGCTTTTGTGGGAATTAATCATTTAATTCTTCTAACTAATACAAAAGCGAGGCAAGAATGGTATGAAGATGATTCTTTTACCAGACTATTCAAATAAATGGCGGACTCACAAGTCCTTCTTTAAACCCATGCAAAAGTGCCAGGAAGTTGTGCCCGTGTTGTCCAGAAAAGTGAATCTTTAGGATCATAAAAATGATTATAAAAATAGATACACACAAATGAGAAGCCCTTTTTTAACCTTTTCCCTGAGCTTGCATTTGAATCCCTCCTTTTCAATGTGTACCCTTCCTTGATTTAAAAATTCTGCTTTTGTGCCTTTTGTAGTTCTGAATGCTTTGAGTAGCCAAAATGCCAGTGAATGACATACACTGGTGTTATTCAGAAAAAGAAAATCAAGTCTTTGCAGAAAATTGAGGCAAAAACAAATCACGGATTATGTTGTCAGGGCACTTGACGTTTTATTTGCTACAACCATTCTGCAGACCTAACAAATTTTAGTTTTAACACACATTAGCAGACTGCTGCAAATACTAGTTCTCCAGCACCATTTTGCTCAGGCAGCAAAAGTGACAGCTCTTTTCTCTACAGTAAGATTTTAAAAGGTGTTTAAAGCCACCACACAATAATTCAGTGGGGTTTGTTAAATGTATAGATTTTCATAGGACATGGGAAATGCATGACTTTTTTCACAAAGAGTAATTCCAATCAAAATTTGTGTCTTTAGTATGACTCACAGGAAAGTTAATAGAATTCAGTTAAAGCAAAAGGCAAATGAAAATAAAGCAGCGCACATTTAAAAGTGTATGGGAATGCTGACATTCAGAAATGCAGAAGATTCATATGAGGGCTCAATTACACTCATCTAATTATCACTATCCTAGATGCCAATTACAATTTAGTAGGAACTTAAGTCACAATTTATTAATCAGGATGCTGCTCTACATTTTCCTGGTAAGTCTGCGGAATGGCAGATGAATGCAGTTTGAAGCTGCAATAATAACTCGTAAAACCCCAAGTTCATCTGGGAAAGACAGGAATGGAGATCTTGCCCTCCCCAGTACTCACCTGCCTGCTGGATGAAGTGCTCTCAGTGTTGGTTTTAGGGGCTGCTAAAGGAGGGAAAAGAAAACATTATGACTATAGTTTGCAAGTTAAGTGTAGCATCCCGAAGAACTGAAGCTCTCATTCTGGTATTGTTTAGAGCAGGGTAACTGCAAAGCTTTCAGTAAATGAGCTGAAATGTTTCAGATCTTCCATTGAAACATCCTCTTTTTTTCCTTTCCTCAACACAGGTGTTGCTTCTATCATGTTGTATGAAAGTCAAATGACAGCATTGGGGCAGACTGCATCTAGTCAATGTTGAGCATTTGAAACTTATTAAATCTTTAGTAGTAAATATAGCCTATTATCCCTGGTGGGAAAGAAGCATGGTCAAGCAGATTGTCTGGGAAGCATTCACTCTGCTTAAAGACATTGCACAGGAACAGCTCTACAAGCCAAAGACATTGTTCACATTTAATCTATAAAACAAGATTATCACTGGTTTTTAAGTTTCTTAGTGGCAAAGTCCAAGACAGTGATCTGAACGAGGACACAAAAAAAAAAACCCAGAACAACTACAGGAGTCTGCGGGCCCATTCAACTTCACAAGCAAACTTGGGAGGGTAGGGAGGAACCCACCCTCTTGGTTCTCCATGTCAGTTTGTTAGTCAATCAAGCTGCACTGGGACAAAGGGGAATGAAACTGGGCCTTGAAAAATACTGCAGAAACTACCACTCCCCTGAGAAAGGATGTTTTGCAGCTCTCTGGCTTTTATATTGCTTCGAATGATTCTCACAAGACACCTGGGACTCACACAGAATGATACAGAGCAGCCTCCTTATCCCAGTTTTCACACTTCAGGTGAAGGGGTCTCACCTATTCCTAGAAATATAACTCTAGCTTTACTGGAGTGGCGGCTGATTTCTTTTGTGCAAGTGAAAGGATTATCAGAAAGTATATTTTAATTATCAAGAGGGAGAAACAAAACAGAATGTTGATATTCCAACAAAAGCAACTTTTAATGTCTTGTCTTTAGAAATATCTATTTCTAGGAAAGAGACCAAATGATTCAATTCAGAATTTTTTTCCATCTGGTTGCCATTAGTTTTTCAATGTAAATGTTCTGAGGTATTTTTTCCTTCCAAAAAATAATATTCTTATTATTGACTATGGGTTTTTTTGGAGAAGCTGTGTTAAAAATCTCCAGTTATGGTGAACATAATTTTTTCTTTAGCTAAATCTGTGGGTGATCTTCATATAATTTCTTGCCTCTTACAAGTTTCTTTTCTGAAATAGGCAGCTTATGGGAAGCAGGACAATCCTAATCTTTGGTTTTTTCACTGAAATGGGCACAGGAAAAACTGGGGTTTGGTTTGAGTCTTGCTATAGCTTTCCTTATGTCCTGGAAGAATGACTTCAAACCCAAATTTCATCTACAATAAGACAAAGGAATGCCAGCTGCAGGAGGATGGAAGTGTTTGGATGTTAACATAGGAGTGACCATAATGGCCTCCACTTTAAGAGACTAGTCTGCCAAATAGTGTAAATGAAAAAGGTGTTACATTTCAGTTTCCACATTTATAGCATGAAGATAACAACAGTCATCCACCTTCATATACTGTTTTTTCACCTCCCTCTACTAGTGAAATTGCAAGGTATTATTATTAGGTCCACAAAACCCACAGAAAAAAATCCTACATTTGATATATTTGTTTTGAGATACCTGTTTCTGTCAGACATAGACAATTTACTTTATTAGTACAATGTATAGCTATTTCTTCTTTCTGCGGTATTCTCTTTCTAGGCTTAAATACAACCGATTTTGTGGGAACTACTTTGTTTCTGACTGCCTTTCCCACCTGACTTGCTTTTCATTTCCTATGACACCTTTGTTTTACTGCCCTGGCTTCATTTTAAGGTCCCAGGCAAACAAGACAATTTGCCTATATTCATGTTCTACAGCTTCTTACAGCATAGGGATCTACTGTTGTTGTTTACAATTTTTTAAAAAAAAATATTTGTCTTTTTCAGGAATTGTGTGATTGAACTCTGCAGGGACCATTACACACTAGTTAGTTGTTCCCCTTTCTACCAGTTTGGCAGCAAGGTAAGGCGGCTGTGTACCAGCAGTTGTTCCACCTGTTTGGCAGATGACCACATTCCTCACTGTATCTCTAAACCACATTTGAGAAATGAGAAGTCATTAGAAAGCTCAACAATGTGCTTCCTTCCCAGCAGGAATCCAAAAAGCACAGGTGTGATACTTCCACTCATTCAGGACATAGTACTGTAATAACATTAAACTGGCTTTTCGATGACTGTTAATGTTATCGTATCCTCTTAGGTTTCCTACTGTAATACTTTTAATGGTCAGAATCCACAGGAAGTTTTTGATTCTCTTGGAGCACAGTGATGATTTGCCTACACAGAAGCAGCTTTACTGCCATCTGCCCTAAGCAACAGCTGCATTAGCTACAGACAGGTGTATTCTTTTATTTTGTATACTTCTGGCATATACAAATATCAAACTTCATCAGCTTTTAAGAATCTAGTGAACAAGATAGAAAAGGTTCTTACTATGGCGTTTCTTTGTTTCTGCTTTACCTTCTTCTTTTGTGACTCCCAAGCAGCCCATTAATTCTTGAACTGACAAGGACTTGTCATTGTTCACATCACAGTATTCCACAAACTTCTTCACACATTTTTTGGGTTTTGATTTCTTTCTTAAGAATCTCTTAAATGGCTTGATTTCTTTCTTGCCAATGTCACCACTGGAATTTTTATCTAGCTGTTTGAAATACCAATGGACCACTCTCTCTTCCAAAGTGTGATTTGGATCAGGCTCTGAAACCCTGAAACAGAGAAAAAGAGTTTAGTCTTAATTCTGATACATAAACCTCAGTTTATACCTTTATTTCAGAATAGTTAAACCACTGTCAGATGCTTTGTTACATAAACCTCCCTGCTTTTGGCCACTAGATTCTTGTAGTCAATCCCTCTTTTTACTCTTTGGTCAACTGTACCCTAAATTTTACACTAAGGGCTGAAATCTGCTCTTAGTTAACCCTCTGAAACTGTGTTAAGGTCAGTACCATACTTAGAAAACAATGCTTTCCCCTTTGATTTCCTGAAACAGAGAAAAGTGAAGCAAGAAATAAAAGAGAAGACAACAGTTTCATAGATGGCAGAGACATGAAAATGCATAATACACCCAACTGAAGTAGGTCAACAGTCAGCATCACCAAATACCTGGGCTCTAATTACAACTCCTGATGCTCTAAGCTGCTCTTAGAGATAAAACACCTAAATGTATTGAATTACAGGGTAAGTTATAACAATAAATGTCACCTCCTCTTCAGATGGTAAGCACCTAACCCGCAGACACCCAAAGTCTGACAGAACTTATGCATTCTTAATTTTACCTGTGACTGTTGATAGCATTGGTGTGTTTTACAAGCAAGTAGGCAAAACACGAATGAGGAAGGTAGCACACATTCAAGTAAAGCCTGAGAGGAGAACAAAGACTGAGACGCAGTTGCACCAGCAGCTACAGATAAACTCTAAGCTGTGCTGCTGCTGAGAATTCAGATATCAAGTGCATCTCTGTTTAGTGGAAATAGTCCACCACGGTAACTTTGAAGTAAAGTCTCCCAGAGAAGTTCTTGGAAATTTACCCCTTCTGAAGGCAGAAGAAGCATTACTTCTCAAAGCCCTCAACAATTCGTTTACCACTGCTAGAATCTTTTTAAAGACAGACAAAAAAGATCTGAAACCCACCGGCTAGAAGACAACGATGGATCAGAGACGGCATGCACCATATCAGTGGACAGCGCATCCAAAACACTAGTCAGGAACTCATTCTTCTTGGCCCCAGGACAACCTAGAAAAACAACATATTTTTTTCTTTTCTTTTTTCCTCTTTTTACAACATTTAACTTCCAACAATAGCTCAAACTTTGAGATAGATGTGACTCCCTGCACACAAATTCCTATAAATTGTGGACAAGTTTGGAACATAATTCAAAGACAAGCATCTAAATTCAAGTACATATCTGTAATACAGAGCAGGAATAGAAAAACATCCTTTTGAACTCAAGCAAGGGGGAATCTGGTTTGCATACCTTGGGTCCCTCTCTTTCAGTTTGGGGCATTATTTTTCCTTCTTTAAGACATTTTTTCCATGCCTGTCACATTTTGAAAAGAATAGCTTTGAAACAACAGAACTTTGTAAATGACACACAGCAATTAAAGCCTGGACTAGAAGGCCATAGCACAACACTTCTTTCAGATTCCCACCTTTGCCCCTCTGAACTACTACTTGCTTTATCAAAACACATTCTCCCAGTGCATCGTTTTTCTTCTCTGTAAAATGACATTCAACTTGTTTCCTCTTTCATTTTTCTCTTGGACCGGGGTTAACTCACCCTATAGAGCACCTAACCCAATAGGATGCTGTTAGTTGGTACTTTGGTTCATAATGCGGGATCCTATGGCGATACTAGGTCATCCTCATAATTACATTCCCTATGCCACAAAGCTCTTCTCTGAAAGAAACTGACAGCACATTTCAGACACATAATAAGTCAGATAAATATATACTGAAAGATCCACTCTTAGAGCAGTGCAGCTGGAGCAGATAAATTCATCTGACAAGCTCATGGATGTTGACACATGGAGGTTTGCTTATACAGTACACCTGCTTCCTCTCCTCTTGCCTAGACCCTGAGCCAAACACCAGGTCTTCACCTAGCCCTGTAGCAGCTGAGTTAAACTCTAGGATGATCCATGAACAGTGACATACAGATCACAAGCTTGAAGCTGGAGCCCACGGCAGGACTTTCACAATTCTGTGCTGGAGGCCCACTTACCCACAGTTGTGTTCTTAAGCGAAAAGGGAAACACTTTGAAGTGTTGTGGAAAAGGAAGATTAGTCAATCAGTAGGGATTCGTTATTTCATTACACTTCTCGGCGACCTCTGGAGCAGGCAGTAGGATTATCTGAGCCTGAAAAGCCTCATCTTGCCTAGCAAATTATTTTTTAATACATCCCATGTTGATCCAAGGAAATGAACATGTGTTATATTAGCCCTTAGCTGTGTGGCAGTAAGAATAGCTCAGCTATTATGTATAGCAGCAGCACCCACTACATATTATTGCCTAACGCATTCATGCAGTTATGAGTTCCCTGTCTCTTATGTGCTTGCCTTTGGCACCAGGGACATTTTATTCCAGTAACTGTAAATGTTACAGGAATTCACTGAAGCAAGTTTCACTGCACTAAAAGCACACATCTGAAACCAGATGTCACTCCTCTAAATGTTCCTCTTCCCTTAGCCTTTAACCATTTTTTTTTTTCCTGTTACAACTGGAAAAAAAAAGAAAAAAAAAGTAAAAAAAAAACAACAGCTATGACTATAATCCTAAATTTGACTTCAGTGAGACAAGCACTTGAGCTTTCTCTGTAAGGCACAGAAATGAAAAGGGTGTCAAGAGATTAACAGGGAGGGACAGAAGACTACACCAACAGGTGCCTGGCAGCATTCAGTGCATAATTCAAAAGTATATTCTCTAGAGCAAAGAGATTGCTGGTAAGTAAGGCTCAGACACTGCGACTGTGTAAGTACACTGTGGATTGTGATATACAAGAAGCCACGTAACTTTGCAAGTCACAAAAGCACATATGCCCAGTGATTCAGGTTTGCATGGCAAGCTTTTGGTAGTGGGAGGCTACAGGAGTGGCTTCTGTGAGAAGCTGCTAGAAGCTTCCCCTATGTCCGATAGAGCCAATGCCAGCTGGCTCCAAGACCGACCCATTGCTGGCCAAGGCCAACCCAGTCAGGGAGGGTGGTAGCACCTCTGGGATAACATATTTAAGAAGGGGGAAAAACGCTGCACAGCCACAGCTGAAGAGAACAGTGAAAATATGTGAGAGAAACAACTCTGCGGACCCCAAGGTCAGTAAAAAAGGAGGGTGAGGCGGTGCTTCAGGTGCCAGAGCAGAGATGCCTCTGCAAGCCCATGGTGCAGACTATGGTGAGGCAGACTGTCCCCCTGCAGCTCATGGAGGTTAACAGTGGAGCAGATATCCACCTGCAGCCCATGGAGGACCGCATGCAAGCGCAGGTAGATGCCCGAAGGACCCCATGGAAAGCCTGCACTGGAGCAGGGTCCTGGCTGGACCTGTGGACCTGTGGACCTGTGGAGAGAAGAGCCCACGCTGGAGCAGGTTTGCTGGCAGAACTTGTGACCCTGTGGGGGACCCATGCTAGAGCAGTCTGTTCCTGAAGGACTGCACCCCACGGAAAGGACCCACACTGGAACAGTTCGTGAAGAACTGCAGCCCACGGAAAGGACTCACGTCGGAGAAGTTTGTGGAGGACTGTCTCCCATAGGAGGGGCCCCT